GGTTAATAGTGGGTTTCGGTCATTGAAGAGCAATCCAGGTAGTAGGGAAGTCTTTGTTGATCGTGGTCCTAAAAGATGCGGGTTTTCAGCTAGGTCTGTGGATAGGGAACCAGGTGAGCTCTCTAGTGAGAGTGGTTCGGATGATTTAATCGAGTCTGATTCACTGGTGAAAGATAATGGAGTTGTGAAGCAGGTAGAGAATGGAGGTCAAAGCCCTGTAGAAAAGAAGAGAAAGTTTTCACCGATAGTATGGGACAGAGATGACCATGAAAGACGGTCTTTGAGCAGAAATGAAAAATCTGTGGAAATCACCCCTCTTCCTCCCCCACCTCCACTAGTTAAGAGGTCAAGCAAGTCACCTAGTGTCAATGGTGATGGCAATTCTCATCTTTCGTCTACGGAGAGTAACATGCATCAAGATCCAGCTCAAGTTGGTATTCTTGCGGGTTCTGTGCCTACTTTTTCATCTCCGGTAGGGATATCTTCTTTGTGTGTGGTAGAACAATCATCAAACGCTGTGCAAGATGCCAAACAAGTGGATGCACCACACCTGGAAAACGAGGAAAACATGCCAACAAGGCATATATCATCCTCTAGGTGGGCTGCTGGCAACAGTTCTCCAACTGACGAAGGTGAAATAGTAGAAGAAGTGGGAATTAATAAAAGGAGGAAGAAACCTCTTCCTGTGGAATTCCTTCAGGGGAGATCCCGTGATAAGTCTCTAACGCCTGAGGCCGGGGAGTTCGTGAGGGAAGGTTATAGATCATCTGATTCTGATGAAAGGAGGTACCATGCTTTACCGTTAAGCAGAGATGATTTTGAGGAGAAAGATGCTGTTAAGGGGGACAATATGGAAATAGATGAGGTGGAACGTAGAAGAGGAAATACTAGTGACAGCCATAGTGAAACAGATTCAGATGAAGAATTTGTTCGGCATGAGACACCTGAACCTGCTGGTCCACTGAGAAGTATAAACATGCTCCAGGGTTGTAGAAGTGTTGATGAGTTTGAGAGATTAAATAAGATTGATGAAGGTACTTATGGTGTTGTTTATAGGGCGAAGGACAAGAAGACAGGTGAAATTGTGGCGTTGAAGAAGGTGAAGATGGAAAAAGAAAGAGAAGGTTTTCCGTTGACTGCTCTTAGGGAAATTAACATTCTTCTTTCTTTTCATCATCCATCAATAGTGGATGTTAAAGAGGTGGTTGTGGGTAGTAGTCTTGATAGTATTTTTATGGTTATGGAATATATGGAACATGATCTTAAAGCATTGATGGAGTCGATGAAGCAGCGTTTCAGTCAAAGTGAAGTTAAATGCTTAATGCTTCAACTTTTGGAAGGGGTCAAGTATCTTCATGACAACTGGGTACTTCATCGAGATCTGAAAACATCTAACCTGCTTTTGAACAACCGGGGTGAGTTGAAGATATGTGACTTTGGTTTGGCTCGGCAATACGGCAGCCCGCTGAAGCCGTATACCCATATGGTTGTTACACTTTGGTACAGGTAAAGTGCCTTTTTACCCTTTTCTTGTTAAAATGGGCACATTGGAATATATTTGTACTTCAACTTTCTTGACTTGTTGTGTTCTTTGTCCTGACTTTCACTTCTTGTTTTAGCAATAATCACTTCCTCCTGGACAAAGCCCAATGACTGCATGCATTTGTTTTTCCAGGGCACCTGAACTTCTGTTGGGAGCAAAACAATATTCTACAGCCATTGACATGTGGTCATTGGGCTGTATCATGGCAGAGCTATTATCAAAAGCACCATTATTCAATGGGAAAACTGAGTTTGATCAGCTTGACAAGGTATTTCAAATATAGGTTCTGACTTGGATCTCCAGCAATCCTGGGAGCACATACAGCTTATAAAATGACTGCTACTCGTAATTTACAGATTTTCAGAATCCTTGGTACTCCCAATGAATCAATTTGGCCTGGGTTCTCCAAGCTGCCTGGAGTCAAGGTCAACTTTGTCAAGCATCAGTAAGTGTTTTTAATTCCTTGTAGTATTCAGTTGTTATGGAAACACATAGTATGAATTTGCTTAGACTCTCTAATATTGTATCCAGGCTTTCTAGCTTTAGGTGATGTGGTCTGGCTCTCTGGCTCAGTAGTGAATTTTTTTGGTTTTTCATAGTTGTTATGTCGCTCTTCTCACTGCTGGCATGTTCTTTCAGGTATAACCTATTACGTAAGAAATTCCCAGCCAGTTCGTTCACTGGTTCACCAGTTCTATCCGACGCTGGGTTTGACTTGTTGAACAAGCTCCTAACATACGATCCTGAGAGGGTAATGAAATATATTCTATATATATTGATTGCATGTTCTTCCAGTATGCACCTTGATTGTTCCTTGACTTTTGAATCTGTGGGCTTTTTTTATAGAGAATAACTGCTGATGCTGCTCTTAAGCATGATTGGTTCCGTGAAGTCCCCCTGCCAAAATCCAAAGATTTCATGCCTACTTTCCCTGCTCAACATGCCCATGACAGGTGCTGAGATCTATTTAAACTGAAACAATCACTGGTTGACTTTAATTCTGTGACTAACTTTTATCTTCTGTGCCAAGGCGTGGGAGGAGATTGGTAAAGAGCCCTGATCCTTTGGAAGAGCAACGTAGGAAGGAATTAACACAAACCGAACTTGGGTCTGGTGGTCTGTTTGGCTGAAGTGTGGCTCACCGATTGAAGACAGCAGTTGGTGTCCAACCTTGATACCTTCGAATTTCCACATTTTGGGCGAGGGCTGCCTGCTTCTGCGGAGGTTGGAACATTTGTATCTTAGACTATCATTTGTACTTTCTTTACTCATTTAGAGGGTCCATGGTGATTTGTGAAGATGATTTTCCTCCTATCGCCAGCTAGATTCCTTGCAGGTATAATGTCTTCACAAGCTAAGCTGGTCAGTTAGTAGTGCCATGGCTTTCTGACAATGCTTGTTCTGCAAGGTGTGGGATGACAATGAAAACTCATTTCCTACTAAAACTTATGTATGTAGCTTAGTGTTATTGAATAATGTCTTTTTTTTACTACAATGAAGAAGAAAACCTATTTTTCACTATGAATAATGTGTTTTTTATATATATAAGATTGACATTGTGATTGCAAGAAACACTGGTGTTGAAGTGGAGGTGACACTCTTGTCTTTGAAGAAGAAATTATGGTTGCCGAGGAATCTTTTCAAGGTAACATATGATCCGGGTGTTTGTAGAGTTGTAACTTGGTTTTTTTTTCCGCTCAAAATCGCGTATAATGGTTCTCCCAGATCGGATGATTGCTATGAAACCGTAGAAATATCGTAGTCTTTGGTTTTTTAGGGAAAGTATGTTCTGTGGGATTCCTTTTTGTACTTGGATTGAGCGTAGGAGCTCATGGCAGAAAATAAAGTAAATCTTTGCTAGAAACCCTTTCTTAGGTTTTCAGTAACAAAGTGAAACTACATATACATTTGCTTGTCTCGATCTTAAAAGAAGCATATGCAGGGAAGTCTTAATGAGTGACTTATTTAGAGGTTTCTTAAATCAGCCGTCCTTTTTTGGATCCGTGAAAGTTTTTTCTTGCATATGTGCATGGGCATACATACATTCGATGATTTTGACATTTTACCGTGATTCTAGCCGGGAGTAGCAGTATTTAAGCTGTAACCCTTACCTAGAGACATGTCATGGACACTAGAAATGGTGCTGCAAGCTGCTAGCGCGGGTCAAGGTTAGAGTCATTTTCAGAGTTAATGCTTGAGAGAATGGATGGTAAATCCATCATAAAGTCCCGGACTTTGCATTGGGCATGTATCTATCATTTAGCATGCAACTTGCTGGAGTGTTTTGGTGGTGTAGAGCTTCCTGGCCCATGCTGATTTCTGGATTTCTGGACAGGAATCGAGTGATTTTGCATGCCTGAGGACCCAGGGATATTGATATGAGAGCACTCACGAAATGGTCAATCGGCAGTTGCTGTTGTAGAAGAATTGGTCCAAAGTTTGGGCTGTGCGTTGTGGTGCCGATCCATATTCAAAATGCCAAAACTAAAAACAGTCCGTAAGATTGTGCAACAGAGGTTCTATCAAGTTTAGTGGTAGGAAATCTAAATATATAACTGGAATCATAATTTTGGGTTTATGGTCTAACTAATGATCTTCCAATCGCCTTCATATGAAAGAAAAGAAGACTATAGATGTGTAAAGCCTCATCAATTAAGTTTTATTATACACTCTTCACGTGAGTAAATTAAGAGAAGGTCATGACAGGTTTCTTCTCCTATCAGTTGCAAAATTCCCTACATGACAAAGGGTAAAAGCATTGTATAATACACCAAACCCTTTTTTTGGTCATTCAGAACTAAAAACTACAGTCTTCCCAAGTACAAAGGTAACAAGAGAGAGTTCAATGAAGAATATTGTGTTAATCAGATGTCTGTCTACAGTCCACCCGAATATCGTTATCCCCCCTGGATTCATCTGCAAATACAACACTGCAAAAATCTCCTAGTCAGACTATCATAGCGGGACTGGCGGAAAAGATCAGAATAACAAAAGGGTAGAAACAATCCTCACCGAAAGCTTGTCTTTTGTGATACGAGGACATGGACATGTATGAAGGAAATTGGTTATTAGTAGGCATCCTCATATGGTAATCCATTGATTCCACATCACTTTCTGAATGGGAAATTGGAAAGGAGATTGGTGGATTCGTGGCGGCCTCCAAGTTGACTCCACTAGGAGAAGTCCTTATTTGAGTTGAATCTATAGACGAGCAGGACATTATTGCATGCCATTTACTTGCAACTGATGCTATTGCTTGAGCTCTGTGAGATATTTTTGTTGCTGCGTGCAAACACAGAATTATCCCAACAACTTGGACAACCGCCGAGACCTGAACATAACATTCCAAGCTTAACCTCACTAAATAAGAACATAACCAGCCAAGAAGAAGAAGCAGAGATGTTGACTTACCGCAAAGTCACCACCGTTTATATATGTGATACGCCCGCTGTACGCAGTGGTCTGGAAAAGTGTAGTAAACTGGCTAACCGTGACGACCAAAAACTGTAGAAGGAGAAAGATGCGGAACCTATGGCTTATTTTGGAAAGATAATGGCGCAAACGGATGTGCTCGTAGATGAAATGGGAGATTTCGGACTCCGTGTCTAAGATCTTTGCATAATCTTCAAAGTGAATGACTTGCAAGTTGCAGACTAAATGAAACATGGCACTGGCAGCTAGAAATATAGTGCTCAAGTAAGTCCATGACAAGATCATGGATACGAGGATTGCAACAGATAGCCATGGCTGGTCATGAGGCACGTATAATATCCGAATGATCTCCCGAACAGCTTTCAATGCAAAACATGGGAACGACCAAAATGCAAGCAGTTTCACAGAGTTCTGCAGCAACAAGCAAAAACCAATTCACCTTTGCACATGTAATGTTTTTTTTCTTGAAACCAATTCAGCTAGAACTAATGATTCTTTCACCATAAGAGTTAAAAATTTCAACAACAAACAATTCCTCAGTCCAAAATCTGAAATCGAAGAAAAAAGAGTAGAAGAATCATCACCGAGATTTGCTGAATGTAAAGAGCCTTGAGACGTCCCATTCGTCCACTGAGTTGATCAACGAACAAAAACTTTCGAATCCCATGCTTTCTCAAATTATGAGAAACGCAAAGCAGAGAGACACCAGCCAAACAGGCCTGTGAAACAACGATATTGAGCTCGAAACTCTTGTACTGATACCTCTCACAACCTAAACAATGCCCTAGCTCCAACACTGTAACCGGAATCACCAAACCAATCGCCAAAAACACGATCCAAGACAAAACAAGTCTTCGAATAGACGATTGATTAAACCCAAGTAGCGTCAGAAACGTCTCCAGCCATCGCAGCGTTCGATCAAG